ATCATAACCGAAAACTTTTAATTCGATTGCTATAGTGTCCGATTCAGTTCGAACCGAATCGTGGTCATCCCTACGTATACGCAATAATTTGTTGGAGAAGTAAAATAAATAAAATGTTTATTTTAAGGGTATAAATGTCAATTTAATATATTAGGGGGAAAAACCACCACTTTTAGAATAATTGAAGGGGCTAATGTGCTTACCTAAATAATTGAGGGGGAAAAAGTGCTATAAGTATATAACTCAGGGGGAAAAAGTGTCATTTTCCCTTATATTTATTCATACAAAATTTAGAATTCACATTTTTATTGATTTTTAAGTACAATTCTCTTAGTTATTATTATTCATATTTTTAGAATTATAATATATATGAAATACAATTTGGAATAAATCAAATTAATTATATAAATTTTTCTATAAATTTATCTAAATATGTACATGATTAGAGATTATATTAACCATACAAAATTTAAATTTTAATTTTGTACGTTATGAAAATAGGTACTTGACCAAATATATAAAAGTCCAACTATATTATTATATTGTACATTTTAACATCTTTTTATTTTTTCTATTTTAATTTTAAATTTATAATAACAAGAAAAATTTCCGGATAAAACACTATATTTTAAAAAATACAATTTGATAAATATCATAAATTAATTAGTACAATATCATTTATTTTTATAATAATTAAAGAAATAAATAAATAATTCAAATATGTGAACCAATGATTTCAAAATGAAATTAATATACAGTTACAAATAAATATAACATGATTACATTTACTTTAATTAGTTTTAATTCGCTTAATGATATGACTTTTCTTTATCAGTTACTAAGGGAGTGTTTGAGTTGCTGGAATTTATTTTTTCAAAAAAAAAAAAATACTTACTAATAAAAAATAATTTTAAAATATTGTTTAACCCCTCATAACATGTGTAAATCAAATATTTTTTAAAAATACAATTTGATAAATATCATAAATTAATTAGTGCAATATCATTTCTGTTTATAAATTATAATAATTAAAAAAAATTCAAATATGTGAACCAATGATTTCAAAATGAAATTAATATACAGTTACGAAAAAATATAGCACGATTAGATTTACTTTAATTAGTTTTAATTTCCTTAATAAAATGACTTTTCTTTATCAATTTTTTATGAGAGGCTAATGGAGTGTTTGGATGGCTGAAAAATATTTTAAAATAAAAATACATAGTAGTAAAACATAATTTTAAAATATTTTTTAACCCCTCATAATATGTGTAATTGTTATATCTTAAAATTTTTTTAAAGATACAATTTGATAAATATCATAATTTTTGTTTATAATAGTTAAAGAAAACAATAAATAATTCAAAGATGTGGATCAATGATTTCAAAATGAAATTAATATACAGTTACAAATAAATATAACATGATTAGATTTACTTTAGTTAGTTTTAATTTTCTTAATGAAATGACTTTTATTTTTCAGTTTTTTATTAGAGAATAAGGGAGTGTTTGGGTTGCTGGAAAATATTTTAAAAATAAAAATACTTACTAATAAAAAATATTTTAAAAATATTTTTAATTCCTAAACATGAGAAAATTTTATATTTAAAAAAATACAATTTGATAAACCTCATAAATTAATTATTGCAATAACATTTATGTTTACAACGAAAATAATTAAAGAAAAAAATAAATAATTCAAATATGTGAACCAATGATTTCAAAATGAAATTAATATATAATTACAAATAAATATAGCATGATTAGATTTACTTTAATTAGTTTTAATTTCCTTAGTGAAATGACTTTAATAAAAGTAAAATCCTCCTTTACAACATTCCAGCCCAAATTAATATGAATATTAATTAATTAGTAAAAAATAATAAAGCTTAATTGGTAACAATATTTTATATGAAAATTAACTAATATCTAATGAATTTTTATCACAGATTAAAGTCAATATGTACATAAAAATGGAAAATGGGTACCAAATTCTGAGAATAATTAAATTATTATAATTGTGAAAATAATGCATACAAATTCTATATAACAAATGAGAAAATTCGTTTAAAATTCTACGTAATTTTATAAATAAATAATAATTTATTAATTACTATTTACACCAATTTATACTATTAATAAAAGTAAAATTCTCATCTTCAACATTCCCGTCCAAATTAATATGAATATTAATTAATTGGTAAAAAAATTTAATAAAGCTTAATTGGTAACAAAATTTTATATGAAAATGAACTAATATCTCATGAATTTTTGTCACAAATTAAAGTTAATATGTACTTAAAAATGGAAAATGGTTATCAAATTCTGAGAATAATTAAACCATTATAATTGTGAGAATAACGAAAACAAATTCTGCGTAATAAATGAGAAAATTCATTTGAAATTCTATGTAATTTTATAGGGAAATAATAATTTCTTAATTATTATTTACACCAATCTATATTTATTTTATACTATTAATAAAAGTAAAATCTTCAATTAAAATGTCTTTCACCCTTCTAATACGAGATTGCCCTTCAAGTTTTAACGAAAACAATTCATGTTGTTGCTTGCATATGCCAGGACTATCAACAAAAGTCAGGGTCAAACACTAACTCACGTTGAGTTATTACTGAAAAAACCAGTCTTTAATCACGGTTAATTGTATGTGACTTTTTTCCGAGTCAGTCATCCTGATGGTCAGATGGTTTTAACTCTAGACGAGGATGAATAAAATTCTGTTACTACTACCAATGTCGTCTACAAAGAGATTTTCAATAATGTATAATTCAAGCCATTGATATTATGTTTTTCTATATACAAAGATGATAAAATTGCTATATATCTACATAGAAAATATATCTTCCGTATAAATAATTTATATAACTAAGTTGCTAGATAACGAGCTAATTAGCCCAATTAATACAAATTCTAAACACTGATATATAAAATCTCTAAAGTTGCAGCACCGAATGCGTATATCTAGTTATCTACACATTAGCTATTAATTGAAGAATTATTTACTCGAATTCAAGCATTGATAACATCAGAAAACATAATCGGTGCAACTCAATTCTTCAATTATATTATATAATATTCGATGTTATAATTTATACAATTGTATATCAATCTAAATATTTTTAAAATATTATAACAATTTCATTCCGTGCAACGCACGGACGCAAATACTAGTAATAATAAGAATAATATACACATTATATATTGGGGTTATATGTTAGTTATTTCTTAAAATATAAATATTAAATTTATAAAAATGTTTTAGGGTCCGTTTGGAAAGCAGGAAAATGACTTCTGGAAAATGTTTTCTGGAAAATGAGTCATTTTCCGGAAAACATTTTCCTTTCCAGTGTTTGGTTGCATTCTGGAAAACTGTTTTTGTGTGTTTGGTTCATTTTCTGGAAAATGAGTAGAATTGTATAATTAAACATTTTAATTATTTTATTTCGAATATTACAACATGTATAATAATATATAATAATATAATAATATAATAATATAATAATAATTTTAAATATAATAAAAAAACTAATAATATATCAAAAATATTATGGTGGTGGTGGTGTAGTGGTAGTTGTGTTATTTGTTATATAATAATAATAGTAATAGTAATAATAATAATAATAATAATAATAATAATAATAATAATAATAATAATAATAATAATAACAATAATAATAATAATAACAACTGGTGGTGGTATGACGGCAGTGGCAGTGGTGGTGTGGTGGCGGCGACGGTGGTTGCGGTGGTATGGTGATGGTGGTGGTGGCGGCGGCGACGGTGGTTGCGGTGGTATGGTGGTGGTGGCGGCTGCGGTGGTATGGTCGTGGTCGTGGTGGCGGCGGCGACGGCGGCAGTGTGATGGTGGTGGTGTGGTGGTAACGGTGGTTGCGGTGGTATGGTGGTGGTGGTGGTGGCGGTGACGGTGGTATGGCGGCAACGGTGGCGGCGTCGATGGTATGGTGGTGGTGGCGGCGGCGGTGGTGGTAGTGGTGGTGTGATGGTGGTGGTGGTGGCGGCGACAGTGGTTGCGATGGTATAGTGGTGGTGGTGGCGGCGGTGGTGGTGGTAGTGGTGGTGGCGATGGTGGTGGCGGCGACAATGGTTGCGGTGGTATAGTGGTGGTGGTGGTGATATGGTGTTGATGGTGTTGGTGGTGGTAGTGGTTGCGGTGGTATGGTGTTGATGATGTTGGTGGTGGTGTGATGTTGGTGTAAAAGTTGGAAAATGACTTCCCCTCAAAAAAAGGGGAAGTCATTTTCCTCCAAAATGAGCCTATTTTCCAAAGTCAACGGAAAATGATTTCCGTTGACTTGATTTTCCAGGCACATCCAAACAATGGAAACTTGGAAAATGATTTCCAGAACTCATTTTCCAGGTTTCCAAACACACCCTTACATTATTATTATTATTATTATTATTATTATTATTGTTATTATTATTATTATTATTATTATTATTATTTACAATAATTTAAATATCTAAAATTTAAATAAATCTAAAATTTTAATATAAAATATTAATATTGGGCACCTATTTTTTGTGCATCGCGCATAAGAAATACTAGTACAAGTAAATAGGGATTACCTAATGATATTTGACAAGATTATAAAAACAAGTGACTCAAAAGTTTAAAAAGAGAGCTTCGGTCTAAGAATGTTGAACTTAAGTTAAACATCCTCGACCAATGGCTCCAAATTAATGTACATAACTTAGAGATTAAGACTAATAATTGTGAAATCGCTACCATGCTTAGAAATTCCGAATAATTGCCAATCATGGGGTTGAGTCGAGCCAATCCACTTGATCACATATCCATTATGTTTATACTATATAATATAAACACCTACCACTGCAAAATTATATATATATATATATATATATATATATATATATATATATATATATATATATATATATATATATATATATATATATATTTTTTTTTTCACACACATATATCTATATATGTGGTCACTTTTACAAATTTGTGCTCCCTTTAAGCCAAGATCAAAGCAATAGTTCAGTGCTTCTGTAAGATTGTACCCAACTGCATAAGATGGGTCCTCAGGCTAAATTCTTCTACCTGTTTTAAGCCAACATCAAAGCAAGCAACTATGTATTAGGAAAAATACATATAAGAGATTTATCTTATTTATGAACATACTAATGAAACCTATTAGGTATATAACAATGGCTTTCCAATGCTTATCATTGTTATAGGATTTACAATGTTGTATGGAATGAGGTTGTATTCTAAAAATAGCAAAAAAGGAAGTTGGCTGCAATTGCAAGAAAGAGAAAGGGGTAAAAGAGCGAATAAAAACATCTGGATCGATCTCTATTATTCGACCATTGTGTCATGCTTCACGGTATTGTAGAATTTTTTCATTGTTATACCGATCACTATAGTAATAAAATTAGCATTAGCATGGGACAGTGGGTGTGTAATACAAAGATATTGTATGCAACCAAATGTGTTACTTCACCTGCATATCTGCTGTTGGAGCCATTAGCAATTCAAATTCATCAAGCAGGAGTCTCTCTTGTGCCACAACACCAGCAAGTTTAGAGACAAGGATGCTTGTACCCTCCAGCTGTAATATGCATTCCAGAAAATGCAAAATATCAACTTTTACATAATCTTAAAAATATCATTTGGAGAATAATATTTGAGGGACTTATTAGAGCTTATCTGAGATTGGTAAACAACCAATTTTTACATAATCCATTAATCTTTCATTACAAACACTAACTTGAAAGTGGGCACAAACTGCATGTGAATGGTGTCATCCAAATAATATGGAAAACTAGTCACTCATCTACATATTTAGTGACATATATAATTCAAAGTGGGAGAAATTTAAACTACAAGAAAATACAGATATAATATGAATGTATTCAAAATAAGTGTATCCCCTTTTACTTCAATCCCTAAATATAGATATCTTTGCAAGAAAAAATAAAGCCTCACGAATGAAATTGTAAAGAAAAACTACCAAAAACTCACTTGTGAGAGCATTGAAAATAGTGATGATTCCAAATACTGAATCATAGCAACTGCTGAACAAACAGATGACTTTATAGCTCCAGTATCACCCTATATCAAGCAGATAAACTTAATCAACATGTGTGTGTGTTTTAAGCATCATAAATGAATCTTCACTAAATTGCATACCCTTGCCCCTGGCATGAGGGGAAGACGCAGTACGCATGCTTTCATATCTTGACTAGCCCGCAATACTGAATCTATATGGTTCCTTTCAATTGAAGACCATTCGTCAAGGCAGGACAGCTGAGCCAGTCAAATTTACATTGAAGAAGTTGCAAAATGGTGGTAGTTAGATAATAGTCATAATACAGAGAAAAAGGTTGTATCCATAAGAAAAAAAGTTTTGTGCAGATGCAATACCTGTTTATTCAAAACCGAGTATAGCTTCGACTCTTGTCTCAGCTGTTCGAGTTCAATTCTTATCTCAATCACAGTGCCCCACAAATTTGAAGTAGTTTTCCACACATTGTATGCCATTTCCTGAAATGAAATTCTAAAACCAGTCAGAACAATGTAATGCAACTCAAAAAATGGTTTAGTTTGTAGAGCAAAATGGATAATAAAAGCCAACCTTTGTATTAACTTCCTCTGCATGTATTGCAGCATTTGCTTGTGCATTAGCGTACCGCCATTGCAAATGTCTGTTGTGTAATATTCTTAACTGATGAGCATCTTCTGTTTGACTTGCATCATTCTCCCTAATATCCGCAACAAAACTGAAGCCTGAATTGGTTAGTCTTGTTGGGCTAGATGGCCTAACCTTAATAGGACTAGCTCTTCTTGGTGGAGCAGTTGGTGTAGCCTTTGCTTGAGATGGGCTTACTCTAGATAGAGAGAAATACAAAGCAGATGCTTTATTTGGTGAAGTAGGACGAGATTTAGAGATGGGATTCACCAATGGTGTTTTTTCCCTTCGTAGCGACAGTGAATTATCATCAACTGAACGAAACTCAAAGCTGCCTTTTGCACTATCGGCTGATGTTAATAGTGATAGTGTATCATTGGTTGGTTTTTGTAATGGTATAGTAGCTCCATCCAAAGACAGTCTTCTATTTGGTGGTACTTTAGATCCCAAAAAGAGTGATGTAACCTTTGCTTTAGATGGATTGACTACTCCAGATATAGAGGAAGAGAGTGCAGGTGCTTTCTTTGGTGAGGTAGGACGAGATCCAAATGGTTTCACTATTGGTGTTCTTTTTGTTTCAACTGTTGGTGAATTATCATCAACTGAATGAAGCCCCAAGCCTCCTTCTGTATGTTCATTTGACATTGTTGATAGCATGTGACCAGAAGAATTTTGTACTGTCTTAGTAGCTCCATCAAAAGGCAATCTTTGCGATGTACCTCTTACTATTGTCTTTGTTTGAGATGGGATTACTCCTATATGTAGAGAAGAAGACAGTGTAGATGCTCTATTTGGTGAGGTAGGATGAGATCTAGTTTCAGGATTCACCAATGATGTTTTTTCTCTTTGTTTTGGCAGCAAATCTATTGAATGAGACCCAAAGCCTGGTTTCTCACCCTCAAGTGATAGCACTTCTCTGGAAGAATTTTGTATTAATTTAGTAGTACCTCCATCCAAAGATGATCTTCGTGAAGAAGGTGCTTCTAATCCCCAAAAAAGTGATGTAGTACTTGCTATAGTATTTGTTCGAGATGGACTTACACCTCGAGATTCAGAAGATGGTGCAGATGGTTTACTTTGCGAGATAAGACGAGATGCACTGTCAGAAACCCTTTGTATTGACAATGGATTATCATCCACTGAATGAAACCCATAGCCTCCTTTCTTGCTTCTGTCTGATCCTAAGTCTCTTGAAGAACTTTGTAGAAAGTTTGTACCCCCATCCAAAGACAATCTTCGTGAAGAAGGTGCCACTGATCCTGGAAAATGTGCTGTGGCAGCACTTGCTGTAGCCTTTGTTCCAGATGGCCTCACTTTGCTGAAAAAAGGTGCAGATGGTTTACTTGGAGAGGTAGGATGAGGTCTAGAGTCATGATTCACTACTGATGTGCTTACCCTTTGTAATGACCATAGATTATCATCTAATGAATGAAACTTATGCCCTCCTTTTTCAATCTTGCTTGATGGTAATAGTGATTGCAAGTCACTAGAAGATTCATGTAGCAGCAGCTTGGTAGATCCATCCAAAGGCAATCTTTGCAAAGATTGAGCTCTTGATCCTTGACTTTTACCCAAATCAGTATTTTTATTCTCAGTATTTGATGATGTTTTCTCAGCTGTTGTACTTGGCCACCTATACTGATCCAGCAATTGAGAATTTAAACTATCTACTGAACTAGGATTCTTTGATATGGAGGAAGCAGATGCCGTAGATTCTTTATATGGTGTGGTAGGACGAGATACAGCCCTCTCTATTGATACTGAATTATCATCAACTGAATGAAACTTAAAACTTCCTTTCACACCTTCAGATGGTGGCAATACAGATAACATGTCACTGGGAGATTTCTGCAGTGGATTGGCAAGTCCACTATTTCTATCAATTGTACTAGTACCTCTGCTTAAAGAATCAGAAGTTACTTTCCTAACTGTTCTCCCTGCAGGCCACCTATCCAGCAGCTGGGATTGCAGATTATTCAATGATCTAGAATTCTCTGCTACAGACAAAGATTGTGTAGCTGCTTTCATTGGTGAGACGGGGCGAGATCTGGGCTTCTCATTCTTACCAAATGGTAGCAGGTCATTGGAAGATTCTTGTGGCGGATTAGTAGCTGCATCCAAAGACAGTCCTCATAAGAAAGTGCTTCTGATCCTGAAAGAGGTGAGGTGATGCATCAGCATTTCTACTTTTTCTCTCACTCAGATGAATACCTTTGGTTATTGAATCTGAGGGTGGTTTCCCACCTGTTGTACTTGGCAAAGCATGCTGATACTGCAGTTGAGAATTTAGGCTATTTACTGGTCTAGAATTCTCTGTTTCATCTCCAGAATTGTCTCCATTTAGTAGACTTCTCTTGGTTTCAGGTGCAGGCTTCCTCAGTGTGTCAGTCTGTTTCTGCACAACATTTGTTGATGGCCTCAATGCATCATCTGGCTTACTACTACACTGGGAAATATCAGACTCAGAAACATGTCTCCTTGATGGACATAAAGCTTCCGAAAACTGGACAGATGGTGGCGTTTTTGGCTGCGTTTTATCAGCTGATAAAGCCTGCTTCTCCAATGAAGTAGTTTCCGGTTGCCTGACGTTCTGGGAATGGCTATGCCGAGCAGCCAGAAAATGTGACACTGACCTGAACCTGGAACCAAATTCTCTGGTCAGATGACGGCGAGGGTTGATTCCCTTATTTTTCTCCGGTGGCTGTGAGTTCTCCATTGTTCAATGCTTGATCTGGTTCATGCATATCATCCAAACTCTCCAAGTTGAAGCGCTCTTCACATAACAATTAAACCACATTTCAAAGACACTTGCAATTGCGTCATTCAATCAAACAGCTTGCATTCAAGATTCAAGAACATCCTTTTCTGCTATAATCGGCCTCAAAATTCAAAGCTAAACAAGATACAACAAACATTAAACATTTGAGGGACTAATTCTGCGGAAATAATTATTATTATTTAAAAAAAAAGGATTATTTACAATCACAAACTGATTGAGAGGAGGGATTTTCGTACATCTCACCAGAAAGTCGAACGAAGCTCGTCGAAACGGGCGAAGAAGCTTAACTTTTATGGCGTGCAGCATATTTATGTTCCGTAAATGAGATCGAAATCATTTCAAAATAAATTTTAAAAAATAAATTGAGAACAATAGGGCGGAGAGGGAGAAAGATAAACGACAATGGCGGTTTCAGGTGAAGATCGTTAAGGCGGGGCTGAGTTGGTAGACGAGGAAGACAACGTTTTCGCGCCACAATTCCCCTTCATTAAATTGCTGTCTGCAATTTTATTTTATTTTCCCTGTTTTCTGGGTGTCTGTTTCTCTTGTTCATTAGTGGCTTGTATTTATACAGTTTGAGCCACTTATACAAAACATTTAATAATTTAATCACTATTATACAACCTGTTGATAACTGGTTGGCAAAGATGACACCTCACAAAAATTGTGATTAGATCGATTTCTATGAACCACCCATGAATGTTATTGGCTACATTCCTTTTACATACTACATTACTTGAAAGCATAACCAATCAAACTTAACATTTAAAAGAACAAAACACATGCTTAAACTTAAAAAGGGGTAAACCTTTCCGTTAATGCTATGTTTAATTTTGACAAAACTTACTTTACATTAACTTCTAGTTCAAATTTACTTGAACTAAGGGTTTTAATTTGAAAAGTAAAAGATTTATAAAATATACAAGTCTATTCATCCCCATTTAGATTTGTAACCCAAACTCCACGTTACCAACTAGGGATATTAAAATTCTTGTACCTTAATTGGTCAGACTCTCGGTGACTGCAGGGTGATCTCTATTTAAAAATCAAATTATTTTTTAAACACTTAATATAAAACAATAAAAGAGTTTTTGTCTAAATATCTTATCTTTTAACTTTGATAAATTTGACGATTGGAATGTGTATATATAAACACACCGTTAAGCCCTGTACAATGAGATGTGGGATTTGAGAACAACAACAATGAGATGTGGGAGGTCATCACCAAAGGAACAATAGATCAGAGATAATAAATGGTCAATTAATACTCTAGCAGTTCAAAACGTGGATACTGATAATACATTAATTTGACTATATTATTTTACCTCTCACTTTACTTCATTTGATATGCAATCTTTTTTTTTTTTTTCATTTGAAAGATCATTTGATATGCATTCTAGCATGCAAAATTGGGAATTTGAATTAATTAATGAGTTGGTTTGACCAATAAATATTAAACAAGACAGATAAAATGGAATAAATTGAGTAATTTCCATGAATACATGGTATACTTTTAATATACTAAATGCTCCCTCTATTCCATTTTATGTGTCTGATTCGATTAATGAAGTTTGACTGAAGTTATTTTTAATCCAATTTTTCATAATATTAAGTTTAATAGTAGTATATAAAATTTATATATTAAGAAACTACACTAAAAATACTATTAAACACAAAAATTCAAATTTAAAAATAATTAAAAAATATTAAAGAAAATAAACAAAGAATAAAGAATTGGTTTGACCAAGGAATAATAAATATGATAGCTAAAATGGGACATAGGGAATATATATATATATATATATATATATATATATATATATATATATTTGAAAGGATACTAAAAATATATTATTTGTGTACTAAATTTACATTATTTAATATTTTGATAGTATGCATACAAAATAATGTGCTTACTTAAATAATGTACTTTCAAATAATATATTTTATGTACATAAATAATATACTTTTAATTTGTAGTCCACATAGATGTGTGGACCATGGTCCATAAAATAGTGATCCACCATACATGCATACAAATATACAATAGTTATTGCGTGGACCGCGATCCAAAAATGACGTCGGATTGCTTAATTTTACATTTTCGCGCGCCCAGCTGCAACATACATTTTTATAACTCATAATGTACATTATTCTAAAACATAATGTATATTATTCTAAAGCCAATCTGTGACCTCCTAGGTGGGAGAGTCATAGTTATGCCCTTGATCACAAGGTCTTTAGCAATGTGATTTATTTTGATTATAATGATTTTTTATAAAAAATTAATTTTTATTTTTTTAAAATTCTAAACACGAGCTTATACGGTTATACCTATCACAAATTCACAATATATTAGATGGGATCTCATCCTTGTTTTGGATTAAAAAAGTTCATTTAAATGAAATTAACATACATCAATTGTTTATTATTATTATTTTGTTGAGAAAAGTGTTTGAATGTATTGGAACAGTACAGCCTGTCGTGTAATGTAAGACTTTCTTTAAAAATATGGCAAGTGTTTTGATTCAATTGTCAAGTAACCAGGACATCTACCCCTGCAAATGGTACAAAAGTTCTTCATATATATATATATATATATATATATATATATATATATATATATATATATAGAGGCGGGTTCAGGTGCGGCAGTGTCTTACGGTGCGGTTATTTTTTACGGTGCAGCAACACCAATAGTTCACCAAATATGCACCATCAACGTTAGGAAATACACCACACAAAACATAGTAAACAGAGCCCTGCATCACCAAACACACACCATTAGGTGTGAGTAAAAACACCATACACTGTTCGGAAATACACCATTGGGGGTGGTGAGTTATATGGTGTGTTTTTTTGAGTCTGTGGTGTATTTTGTGATGTTTTATTACATTTCATTGGGGTGTGTTTTTATTACACTGTTGGTGCATATTGTTAACACTGTTGGTGTATTCTAGAATTTGACCGCACCGCCGCACCGTAAGACCCCGCCACATATGAGCGCTCTTTTATATATATATATATATATATATATATATATATATATATATATATATATATATATATATATATATATATATATATATATATAGAGGCGAGTTCCGGTGCGGCATCACCAATAGTTCAACAAATATACACCATCAACATTAGGAAATACACCACAAAAAACAGAGGAAAATTAGGTACGCATCACCAAACACACACCATTAAGTGTGAATAAAAACACCATACACTGTTCGGAAATACACCATTGGGGGTGGTGAGTTATATGGTGTATTGTTTTGGGTCTGTTATGTATTTTTTGATGTTTTATTGCATTTCATTGTGGTGTGTTTTTATTACACTGTTGGTGCATATTGTTAACACTGTTGGTGTATTCTGAAATTCCGCCGCATGGAAAGACCCCGCCGCATTTGAACTTTATATATATATATATATATATATATATATATATATATATATATATATATATATATATATATATATATATTCTTGTTAGTTGTCAAGAAAGAGAAGATATACAATTAAAACTTTCCAAACTCCATTAAAAAATAGAAGAAATGATTTTTTTTTTTTTTTGTAGAAATAACACATTTCGTCTTTTACTACTTACAGGGGTTTGGTTAGAAGGATGGAATTAGGGGAAAATAATTATAATTTTATGAAAAAAGAATAAATTAAGAATTTAAATTACATTGTTTGGTATGTTGTTCGAAGAGTTTGCTTAGTAACCACTAAGTTTTAAGTTATTTCATTCATTTATTGACTAAGATCACGAGATAAACTTCACTACACAAAGCGTACCTTCTAGTACGGGTTAAGAGTTTTTTCGTAAATAAATGAAATATTTTCCACTATATATACATAACACTCTAATTAATACTTTAATAGAGTACGTGTGAAAGAATAGGTCCTGGCAGTTTTATTCAACTCTTTTTTTGGTGTTCTTCCTTTATTATTTTTAGGTTGGTTGTAACTGTTCCTGTATTCTCTTCTTGTAGCCTCTATATAAGAGGTAGCCTCTGTTTATTTTGAATATTGAATACACAGCTTCCATATGGTATCAAGAGCCTAATACTCTAAAGAGTTTTTTTTTTCCTCTCCCCAAGCATGTCTATCACGCAAACCACCCAGATTGTGCATCTCAATGCCCCAACCCATTTTCCCATTAAATTAACTAATTCCAATTTCCCAATATGGAGGAATCAAGTTGAGTCTACTCTCATTGGCCTTGATGTTATTGGCTTTGTTGATGGTTCTATCAAAGCTCCGGAACGACTTTCCGATGCAGCTACAAACACCATTAATCCCCTTTACACAATTTGGAACAGACAAGATCGTATAATACTGAGTGCTCTCTTAGGCAGTGTCTCAGAAACTCTACAACCAATTATCTCTTCTGCTTCTTCCGCCGCAGATGCTTGGTCACGCTTAGCAACCTGTTGTGCTGCCTCTTCCAGAAGCCGCATAGTCTCATTGAAGGCAAAGCTTGCGAAAAATCCAAGAGGGAGTCGCTCTATTGATACCTATATGCGCGATATGCGTGCCATCGCGGATGAGTTGTAATAAATTAATTTATGACTATAATGCTCTTACTTCCTTTTCATGTACTTCTTGTCATGTGAACAAGAGCCATAAATTTCCGTTCTCAGTAAACAGTATGTCAAGTTCCAAACCTCTTGAGTTAGTTTACTCATATGTGTGGTCTACCTCTACTGTCTCCGTAGATGGTTATAAATATTATGTCATTTTTGTTAATCACTACACACGATATATTTGGCTTTTCCCCCTAAAATATAAATCTGATGTTTCTATCATATTCCCTCAGTTTAAGCAAATGGTAGAAAATTACTTTGGATGTCGAATTCTCTCTGTCTTCTCAGACAATGGTGGAGAGTACAAAAAATTAGCACACTTTTTTAACAAATATGGCATTTCTCACTTCACTTCCCCGCCTCATACTCCCGAGCACAATGACTTGGCCGAGAGGCGTCACAGGCATGTGGTAAAAACAGCTATGTCATTGTTGCATTTCGCATCCATGCCTATTATCTATTGGTCTTATGCTGTCCAGGTAGCAGTATATCTTATAAACCGTATGCCCACTTCCACACTTGCAAATTTTTCTCCGTATTCCAAACTCTTTCACAAAGAACCAAATTTATGAAAGATCCAACCGTTTGGTTGCTTGTGTTTCCCTTGGCTCAAACCGTACTTCCCCACAAAGTTACAACCCAAGTCAGTTCCATGTGTGTTCCTAGGCTATTCCTTAAGCCAGTCGGCCTACAAATGTTTAGATTTCTCTACGGGGCGAGTCTATCTCTCTCGGCATGTTCGTTTTATTTCTGATGTTTTTCCTTTTTCCCCAACTGCCTCCACCTCTAGTCAGTCTCTACAGTCATCAATTCCGCCAGTGCAATATCCTCTATCCTCAATGTTGTCTTCGTCTGTACCACAAGTTACACAGGTTATGTTGCCGGCTTTACAAAATTCACCTGCTGCCTCCCAACATACACCTACCATCTCACAAAATTCACCTTCTGCCTCACAAAATATACCTATTGCTCCACAAAATTCACCTACCACCTCACTAAATTCACATGCTGCCTCCCAAAGTCCACCAGTTGTCTCACAAAACTCACCTACTTCACAAAATTCAATTTCTTCACATAACCTGCCTGTTCTGCCTACCTCGAGTTTTGTGCCTCAACCAGAAGCGTCTACTGTTGCTCCCTCTGATTCTGTGTCTAATCTATCTGGTGAGTTACATTGTCAGGCACAATCGCACCAGCCTGTTGGTCGCAGGTCCCAACGAACGAGGCGTCCGAATCCGCGGTATTTTAATGACAAGTTTGTGAACGTAGTCACTGTGCATCCGTTATCTCCATCTGTTGAGCCACGCACCGTTACTCAAGTATTGCAAGATACTCAGTGGAAATTGGCGATGGTGGAAGAATATGATGCCTTAGTGCGCAATTCTACGTGGGAACTTGTTCCCCGTGCTGATAATATTACTGTAGGTTATAAGTGGATTTTTAGAGTGAAGCGCAAACCAGATGGCTCTGTTGACAGGTTCAAGGCTAGATTGGTGGCTAAAGGATTCTCGCAAGAACCGGGTCGCGACTATTATGAGACCTTTAGTTCGGTAGTCAAGCCAGTTACTATTCGTATTATATTTACTATTGCTTTGAAACAGGGGTGGTTACTACGTCAGTTAGACATCAACAATGCATTCTTAAATGGAACTTTGCATGAGGATGTCTACATGGAGCAATCGACAGGTTTTGTTCAACCTGGACTAGAGCATCACGTGTGCAGATTGAAGAAAGCAATTTATGGATTGAAACAGGCTCCAAGGGCTTGGTATTTGGAGTTGTCTTGTTTTCTGCTTTCTATTGGTTTTTCAAAGTCTGTAGGTGACTCTTATTTATTTATCGGCTAGATGGTGTGGTGGTTTATTTTCTGGTGTATGTGATGACATTGTAATCACTAGGAACGATGACGGCTTTATTAATTCTTTTATCTGTAAACTAGCAGCTCGGTTTTCCCTAAAGGATTTAGGTGTGCTCTCACACTTTCTTGGTGTGGAGGTTGTACCTACGTCCACTGGCTTGTTTTTATCGCAGGGCCAGTATGTGGTGGATATTTTAGAGCAATTCTCTATGGCGGGGGCGAAGGAGGTGTCTACTCCTATGTGTTCATCAGTGGACTTGTCTCGACAAGGGGGTGATTCGGTTGATCCTACGTTATACCGGAAGGCGATTGGCAGGTACAATATTTGGCATTACTCGACCGGACATTGCGTTTGCTGTGAACAAACTTGCTCAGTTCATGTCCAAGCCCGCGGAAGCTCATTGGTCTGCAGTTAAGCGTGTGATGAGGTATTTGAAAGGCACGATACATTATGGTTTGCTTCTTCGTTCAGGTTCGTCCTTCTCGCTCGTGGCGTATTCTGACTCTGACTGGGGGGTGTTCGTGACGATGGCCGGTCTACTACGGCTTATGTGGTGTATCTTGGTGCTAAAGTTGTGTCCTGGAAGTCCGTGAAGCAGCGTTCTATTTCCCGGTCGTCTACTGAAGCTGAGTTTCGCGCTCTGGCCAACTCAGCTGCCGAAGTCTTATGGATTCAGCATCTTTTGTCTGAGCTTGGTGTGGTTTTGCCTAGTTCCCCGGAGTTGGTTACGGATAATTTGAGTGCCACATATGTGTGTAAAAATCTGGTGTTTCATTCTCGGATGAAGCATTTGGCACTGGACTACTTCTTCGTGCGGGAACGGATTACAGATGGGTCGCTATGTGTTCAACATATACGGTCTGCTCAGCAGGTGGCCGACTTACTCACTAAGCCTCTTGGGCGGCACCTGTTTACTTATTTTCGGGACAAGATTGGAGTTTCCGATGGCTCCTCCATCTTGCGGGGGGCGTGTGAAAGAATAGGTCCTGGCAGTTTTATTCAACTCCTTTTTTTGGTGTTCTTCCTTTATTATTTTTAGGTTGGTTGTAACTGTTCCTGTATTCTCTTCTTGTAGCCTCTATATAAGAGGTAGCCACTGTTTATTTTGAATATTGAATACACAGCTTCCATAGTACGTACTTTAATATATATAGTATGGAGTTTTTTTCTAAAAAAAGAAATACAGTAAGGTGGTATGCTTTCTTAAACAATGTAATATAATTGAGCTATATAAATATGCACGAAACCTGTGTTGGACTGTATGTATCTAGGGAGTTGAATGGTTTGTGAATTTTTGAGATTGATAAATGGCGGCGGGCGACATTAAATATGTTTTTCGTTGCACAGAAAGAATCCGACCATCTTCTCCGACTCCTCAAAATCTCCGAAGCCACAAGCTGTCTCTCCTTGACCAGCTAATCAATTGCCTTTATGCCCCCCTCATCTTCTTCTACAACTCCTCCGGCGATCATGATCAGCTCAAGAAATCATTATCCAGGACGTTATCCTACATGTATCCGTTGGCCGGGAGGTTAAAAGACGGGAAGACAATCGATTGCAACGACGAGGGTGCGGACTTCGTATTAGCCGAAGTGGAAAACAAAATGTCGGAGGTGATGCAGTATCCTAGGATGGATCGTCTGAGGATGTTGTTCCCATGTAATCCATACCCAGAAGTTGTGGATTCAACCATTCCCCTTTGTGCTGTCCAAGTTACGCGATTTTCCTGCGGTGGCTCGGCGGTGGCGATTTGCATTTGGCACGGACTGGTCGACGCCGCCGGCGTCTATAGCTTCCTCCGAACTTGGGCTGCTATTAACCGGGGACAGGAACAGGTAAGGCGGTTAACGAACTATGAACGAACAGAGGTTGTTCGTATTTGTTTGTTCAAATTTTTGGAGTGTTCGTATTGGTGTTCATTTGTTAAGTGTTTATTAGTGTCTGTTAACGGACCTTTATTGGTGTTTGCGAACACATTTATGAACGCTTAATAACCAAATAGAGACTCATATTCATCATCACAATTTGTTCGTGAACAAAAAATAATCTGTGTTTAACAAATAATAACTAAACAAAAAATACAATAACTATTAATATATATGTGCTTAACTACTTGATCATGAACATGTTCGTAACATTATTAAACAAATACAAATGCGTTTGTTGACTTTGTTCACGAATTTGTAGCAAACAAACTTACAACTGTTCAGACTTAATTCTCTACCCCTAATTCTCATGTTGAATTGAGCTCTAAAATTTATTTATTTATTATGTTCGTTTATCTTAATAAATGAATATAAAGGAACATTTAACACAAACACACAAGTGGTTTATCAAAAACTTTGTTTGCTAACCGCCTAAGAAACAGGATTACAAGAATGCCGGCGGTTTGGTCGTGGACAGGAGCACAACGTTTGTACCAAGTGATTTATTATCATCTCTCACCGCGCTCACGGATAGGAATCACATTATGGTTGCAGAAAAATATGTAGCCAAAAGGTTTATGTTTCGAGGATCAACGGTTAACGCGATCAGAGATAGATACACTCAGCCGGAGATTCGTCCGTCGCGGGTGGAGGCGCTGGCGGCGTTTCTATGGGCGGCCATTATAAGAGCCACAGGGGAGGTGGACCAAGATTTCAAGACTCACACGTTGACCATGTCCGTGGATTTAAGAAAAAAGTTTAACCCACCATTTCCTATGTACTGTCTGGGGAGCATCAATCAAGTGGTGGGGGCGCGGTGGGAGCGCGGCGGTGACGGAAAAGAATCATCATCATCGGCGGTTGACGGCGGATTCCTAGTAAGAAAAGTTCGAGAAGCCATTAGGAAGATTGACGATAACTACATCAAGAAAATGCACATTGAGGGAGGTTATCTCAACCAACTTATGGCTATATCCAATAATTTGACAGTGGATAAAAAACATAACAAGGGTTTAAACATCAGCAGTTGGTGCAGAGTACCACTTTACGAGGTTGATTTTGGGTGGGGGAATCCGAGGTGGATATCCACGGTTCTTGTTCTAAAGGATTTGGCCATTTTTGTGGACATGGATGATGGAGGGGTGGAAGTGTGGTTAGGGCTACCTCAAGGTATAATGAACAATTTAGAGATGGACAAACAATTTCTAGCTCATTTATCTTATAGCCAAACTGTCTGGAATTATAATATACACAGTGCCATAAAAAGTAAGATGTAATTTGATTATGAATTACATAATCGATCAATAAAATTGGATTTTAAATTAAGCGTATGTAACTAAATTGGTGGTGTTGAATTTCCCTATGTTATTGGTTCGTCTTTTAATAATAAAACAAAATATTATTGATAAATGGAACATGGAGTCTCAAACACACATATTACAAAAGAGGGTAAAATCCGATCGAGTTGGTCGGTGATGAGTGTCATTTTTTACGATTTTTATTTTATGTACATATTTGACATCAAATTCATGACTTTACTATTTTTATGAGTTAGTTAGACAAATGAAAAATATGTGTTCTTAAGTTTAAATTATAATAATCTGCATGTAATTGAGGGATATAATAATGATTTTAAGCAGGAAAATACAATGAACGTTTTTAATCAAAGACCTGAAAATGACCCGTTTTATAATTCTTATCATCCAGGTTGGGAAAATAATCCTAATTTTTATCATCCAATTGTCCCTCCCCAACCTAAAAAACCATCATTGGAGGGTACCCTGTAAAATTTCATGCAGGTTTGCACTAATCCACCCAACCTAAAAAAGAATCATTGAAGGATACCCTACAAAATTTTATACAGGTTTGTACTAGTCAGCAGGAAGCAAGTGATCAGCACCTCCAACGAACAGAGGCATCACTTGTCCGATATGAGGCATGTTAGAATATTTTATTCTAATGTTATTGTGGTCCATGTATTAAAGTGTTCTGGACAATTAAAATTCCGTTGTGATAAGTAATGGGAATAAAATATGTAACGGATCAAGGGGTTATTATTCCCCTCTCTTTGGCTTTCAATAGGGCTATTTAAGCCTACTTAATATTTGGTTTATGGCCATTATTGCCATAATTCCAATAATCAATATTGGAATGTAAGTTATGTAAAGAAGGCAATATAAAAGGGCATAAGCATTTTCCTATCTTATCACTGTGAAAACTAACGTGAAAGACCAGAGGGAAAAGTATTCTGAAAAACACTCTACAAACTTGCATAAAGAAGTTGTGAAGAAGAAAGGGTTGAAAGCTTCATCATTCTCTCATGGAATCAGCTGGTTAGTACTTTAACGCTTTCGATTAAAGTATTGGTTAAATCATTCCATGCCTATTGTTATAGTTTTACATGTGGTATCAAGAGCAAGGTTAGGTATAATGATTTACCAATTTTGTTTTGAAATTTGTGTATATATATGTGTGTTAATTTCAATTTGTGCATATGTATATATATGCGTTAATCTTGTATTGAAATTATTTATATACATATTATGGTTATATACATATATTAAAGTTTTGACGGATTAAAGATAATCTTGATGAATCAAAGTTTAATTATCAAAATTTGAATCGTTCCGTCGTCGGCTAAACGACCGGACCGGTCGTCCGTAAGCCAACAGTCTTCTCCAGCCTTACGACTGGAGAAGGAAAGCAGTTTTCACTGCTATTTCTCCAGCGCAAGGCTGGAGAAAACAATTTTGGGCCGTGAAGGGCTCTAGCCAAATTGGCTAGAGCCCTAGCCCAATTTTGTTAAATTATATATATTATATAATAATAATAACAACAACAATAACAATAATAATAATAATAATAATAATAATAATAATAATAATAATAATAATATTATTATTATTATTATTATTATTATTATTATTGTTGTTGTTATTGTTATGGATGATAATGGTTTGAGAAGAAAATATTTGTTGGATTCATGAATTATTATAGTTTGGTGATTCGTGGATTTGTATGGTTCTCAAATTATTATTAATATTGTTATTATTATTATTTTTATCTATTGTTGTGAGGAGCCTGTTAGTCACCAAAGTGGCCTGGCTAAGTGACAATTAGATTAAAATATTAAATTTTGTATACTTAAATTGTTTTTAGTTAAGGATTCTGAGAGTCACCAAAGTGACCATGTTATTGTTGTAATAAGCCTATTAGCTCAAACATATTGACCAAATAGAGAAGAGATGAAGAATACAATAAGCCAGAGAGACCTCTAATTCTGTTATTTCAATATCTGAATATATATACATGTACAATCATTAAGTATTATACTAAATGACATAACTGTTACATATGTTACAAACCAACAATAATGTCCATAATGAATGAGATATTTATAACACTCCCCATTGGACATTATTTGTCCACAATCTTGCTTCAATAACAAACTTGCTAGGAAAACCCAGTGGGAAAAACCTAGACAAGAAAAGAGTACAACGTATATGGATAGCATACATTCATGCCTCATTAAAAACTTCACTAGGAAAACCACGTGGGAAAAAACCTAGTTGAAGAAAAGAGTACATGATATATGTAAAAACATATATTGTATTGGTCGCCTCATTAAAAACCTTAACTTAAGAAAACCCAGTGGGAAAAACTTAGTTAAGGGAAAAAGAGTACAACCATAAGCCTTCAGGGCGCAAACTGCATAATCTTCAGGATTTTGGGGTTTGTCCATTTAAGCAATTATTTTGCAACTTTTTCCCATTGTCATTACTATATCATACACATGCCTCGTTAAAAACCACACTAGAAAACCCAATGGGAGAAAACTAGTGAGGAAAAGAGTACATGATATGTATGTATTTATGTGTTGCAAATAGTGCGCAACTGTTAGTCTTTTATGACTTAATCTTCAGGATTTTACGTTCAATCTTCCGGATTGATTCGAGTAAATGTACTTTCAGTCTCCCCCTGAAGATAATAATCTTCAAGTTCTACATATATTTCAAAATTTGAAGAGATGGATTGGACAAATCTTTTGGATTGTCACTATAGTGTACAATAATCTTATGGCTCTTCTAGAGCTCATATAACATTTGTGCAACACAAGTGTTATTGTCCTCATTTTGAACATTTAGGGAAATTCATTGTATA